GGGGGGGAGCTGGTGTTGGTGGAAGGTTGGCCGAAGGTCGCTACCGAAGGGAAGACTCACCGGGATGGATGGATGGATGCTGTGTACCACGGGCGGATGTTGCTCATCATGGATGTGTATTTGGGGATTGTGTCATATCGGCCAGCCGCCGGATGCCAACTACCGTGACTTGGCCCGTGCGCTGGAGGATGCGACCGGTGTGCCGATGGACGGGCAGAAGCTGCTGGGCCTGGCGCCTGATCCGCCGCCACCAAGTACCCCGCTACGGACACTGGCAAAGGTTAGTGCGGCAGGACGAGGCCGCAAAGCTGCGCCGATCAAAGTCATGCTCGTCGGCACACCGGCAGAGACGGTGAGGCAGGTCTTGGACGCCGAGGCCGCCGAGCACGCTGCGCGGGTCCAAGCCGCAGCCGCCGCTGCTGCTGCCGACATTGCGGCCCGTCAGGCCGCTATCGAGGCCGCCGCCACGCTTCCGCCGCCTGACGCCCCCACGGCTGACACTTCAGCAGCAGCAATAGCGGCTGCGACGTCAGCGTCGTCCATGGTGGTCAAGCCGGGCAAGCTCACTGTCGAGCTCGACGGCGGACTGCAAGTGTGGGACGGCGGCGAGCCGCGGCGGCTCGGCTCCAACCAGGTCGTCATTCCAGCCTGCGTGCTCGAGGGTGCGCAGCGCGCTGGCCTTGACTTTCCTTACTTTTTCGAGCTCTCGGTCGTGGGCACGAGCGCCACGTTTCGATCGGTTGTCTCGGTGCTCCAGTTCACCGCGCCGGACGGCGTCGCCATCGTGGCACCCGCGCTGCTCGAAAAGCTCGGCGGCGCTTCAGCCCTGATTGACGATGGAGTCCGGGTCTGGCTCCGCGCGCGCCAGCTCCCGCTCGGCACCTTTGCCGCCATCCAGCCACTCACCGAGGCCTGGCACTGCAACGTGCCTGCCGCCCAGCACGGGCCTGTCCTACAGGAGCAGCTGCAGTCAGCCTACCAGCACATCGGCGCCGGTGACATTGTCGAGTTTGAGTACACCGGCATCGAGTACGCGTTTCTAGTGGTGAGCGTCGAGCCGGCTGACGCCGGCGCGGTCTCGCTCATCAACACCGAGCTTGCTGTCGACATCCGGCCGCCGCTCTCGCCGGGCCTGGCCGCCGCCACAGGCTCACCACGCCGCGCCGCTTTTGCCCTGCCCACTGTCCTCCGGCTGGAGGGCGACATGAGTGCCGGGTGCGCATCGGGCACAGCGTCCGGTAAGCTGGGCGCAACCGGTGCAGCCGCCACCTTTGTAGCTTTTGTGCCCGCCACCGCGAACGCCGTCGACATTGAGCTTGTCGCGCGGTCAGTCGAGGATGGGGCGAGCAACGAGTGGAACGCTGAGCCGAACGCTGACCTCTTTGTCTCGTGCGAACCGGCGGTGACGGCGCCAAGCAACGCTGCGTTTACCTTTCGCGACGTCTCGTCGACCGGCCCTGTGGCAAAGCTGCAGTTTGCACTCGACGAGTTGCCGAGCCAGGCCGCCGCCAGTAGCGACGCCACCCCCGGCGATACCACACGCGCCATCTACATCACCGCCGAGGCATGGCGTGGGCCGCTCGAGTTCGAGCTCGTGCTCAACGTGAGTGGCAAAATGCTGGCACCGATGGATGAGGCGCGGCCGTCGTCGCCGGCGCCCGACGCGAGCGTGTGCGGCAACTGCGGGGCGGCAGTGCCAGCAGCGTCGATGCTCACACACGAACTCCGGTGTAGACGTGTTGCACGGAGCACGTGTGGTGAGTGTGGGATCAAGCTCCGTGATGAGCACATGCCCAAGCACGTGGCGCGGTGTCACGTGCCGCTATCCTGCAACTGCGGTGTCGAGCTCGCGCCTGACGAGCTGCAGCAGCACCGCCGCCACGAGTGTGGCCTCCGCATGGTCGACTGCGTCTACTGTGACGTGCGGGTCCCACTCGCTGCGCGCGGCGAGCATCAGAACGCGTGTGGCTCGCGGACGGCCCCTTGCCCCGTGTGCGGCGAGCGGGTGCCCCGCAAGCACCTTGCGCGGCACGTCGACGGCCACACGGTGGCGCCCGAGTCCGAACCCGAACCCGAACCCGAACCCGAGCCTGGAACTCAGCCTCAGTTGGAGCATCAACCCGCTGTCGCCTGCCCACTCTGCGGTGCTGACTTTCCTTTGTCAGCCATCGAGCGGCACGCATCCGGATGCTCGGGCTAGTCGGCGTGAGCCTTCTGCCGCTCGCCGAGTAGCGAGACGAGGGTCAGCGCCGAGGTCAGCGCGCCGATGCAAGCAAATACCATCGAAGCCAGAGCGAGCCACTGGTGCAAGCTGTCGGCGCCAGACTGCAGCGCTTCGCCATGCTGCGGCGCGTAGTCGTTGGGCATGAGCGAGTTGAAGGTGGCCATGCCGGCCATAGGCAGGTCTGTCACGAACCAGACAAAGGCCCACAGCAGGCCCCAGGCGACGCGCAAAGCATCATCGCCAACGGTAGCGGCAGTAGCGGCAGCGTACGAGTGCGGCGGGCCAGCATCAGGCGGGCTAGTCGCGCCCAAGGCCAGCAGCGAGGTGGCGGCGACAGCGAGCAGCAAGAGCGAGGCAACGCCAAGCCCGGCGTGGGTGTACTGCGCCCACATCGAGTGTGCCTCCGAGTAAAAGCCGGCCACCGCCAGCGACATGTGGACCAACCACGATGCCGCAGCCAGCACCGCCCGAAATCCAAACAGTGGCCAGTTCCATACCCATCGCAGCCGCGAGACGCACGACAGCGGCTCGCTTCTCCGCCGTCGACCGCCTGGCCCGTGCCTCTCTGGACCGCTGCCGAACCGCGCCTGGCTATTGCTGCCTGCCACCGTAGCCCGCATGTTGATGGAGTTGGAAGGGAAGAGAGTGCAAGGTAGCAAGAGAGAGAGGTAGAGAGGTAGTGTGTGTGTGTGTGTGTGTGTGTATGTGTGTGTGGTGGGACGGCCAGTGGCTGTGAGGCGGACAGCGCAGTCGGCTCACCGCTCGCATTGGCAGCAGAGTGCTGGAAGCCGACTCCAGCTCAGATTTCAAGCCGTGGTCGAGGTCAAGGTCAAGGTCAAGGATATCACCCCACTCACTCACCCACCACCACTAGCCACCACATGGGAAGGCGCGCTACAAGGAGTGGCTCCCAGTCGTCGACCACCGCCGCATCCACCACCACTGCCTCTACTGCCTCTACCGCCGCCACAAGCAGCTCCTCGCCGCATCCGCCAGCAACACCACCGTCGGCTACCAAGTCAGTCTCCAAGTCGGCCTCCAAGTCGGCCGCCGCCAAGTCGGCAAAGTCGGCAAAGTCGGCCAAGGCGGCCAAGTCGGCAAAGTCGGCAAAGTCGGCCACGCCAAAGTCAGCGGCGGGCAAGCGGGCGAAACGACCGCGCGATCGGGTGGGGACGGGAAGGTGCCGATGCGCAAAGTCCAAATGCCTCCAGCTCTACTGCGAGTGCTTCTCATCGTCGCGGATGTGCTCGGATGAGTGCGAGTGTCGCAACTGCTGCAACACCGAGGCCGAGGACCACGCCCCGCTGCTTGCCAACGCACGCCGCCTCGTCCGCCGCCGCAATCCCACCGCCTTTGGTGCGTCGCCGACCTCTGGAGGGGGCGCAGCGGCGGAAACGCCGAGCGGCGCTTCCATGACACCGCCGTCGCGGAAGCGCGGGAGATCAACCGCACCCACTAGCGCATCACCGGCGGTCGGCTCCCGGGGGGTGATCCAGCTTGCCTCATGTGTCGCTGCGTCAAGTCCAAGTGCCTCAAGCTCTACTGCGACTGCTTTGCCGCCGGCGTCTACTGCTCGTCCTGCGCGTGCGTCAACTGCCAGAACACCCGCGAGCATGAAGACGCCCGCGCCAAGGCCGTCCAGATCGTGCTGGAGCGCGACCCCAACGCGTTCCGGCCCAAGTTTGTGCCCACCTCGGTCTCGACCTCGGCAGGCAAGCATAGCAGCGGCCTCGGCTCGGGCCGCCGCCGCCCATCCAAAATAGCCCGTCTGCTCGTCCCATCATCGCCGTCGCCTGCTCCGGAGGATGGCTCAGACACCCTCGCTGCCATCCAGCCCTTTGCCCGCGGCTGCAACTGCATCCGCTCTCGCTGCCTTAAGCGCTACTGTGACTGCTACCAAGCCGAGTCGTTTTGCTCGTCGGCCTGCGGGTGCATCGATTGCGGCAACACGCCCGCCAATGCCCAGGTCGTCGCCATGCGCGCCACCATGGCCCGCGCCCGGGAGGCATCCGC